GTGGGTTCCTGCTCTGTAACCCAAAGCATACCAAGTCTTCTTTTCGGGCCTTCAATATGGCCTGCAAAGCGTAGCTTGGATCAGAAGGGTTACCTAGAGGACAACATCGGAAGGAGGGCGAAGAGAGTAGGGTATCGGCTGTCATCCTGCCCCTACATCTACCCAGCGTCATGTGAATACTATAGCCCCCCTAGCCACCGCATATCTTCTTGAAGGGACTTTGAGAAAGGGGGCCTTTGTAGATGGAACTTTGCCTTGGGAAGTAGCCTATGCTGCTGATGATGCTAGCACTGCAAGAGCAACAACCTCGTACTTGGGTAAGTCTGCCATGATCTTCACGGCAGGAGCAAAGGCAGCTAGGAAGAGAGAGGATTAGAATTGAAAGAGACTGATACGGACAGAAGGATCAACATCAGTTCTGTATTAACGAGCCGGTGGGTGCCTTAGATGTTCATAATCTAGATCAAAACCGATCATCATAGAAAGAAAGGGGAAGCAGGGAGGGAGCCATTCGTTCTTTGGCCGACATGCTGCTGGGCAACTGCCTCTTTATCACATCACAGCACCACAAATCACGGTTCCTAAAGCTCCAGTCAAGTGTTTGTGGTTCGTTAACATCATCGTCTTCTCAGACCTTCATCGTCCCATCATCCATCCTGTCGTCGTCTCCAAGTTACTATGCCGTGAGGCGGTATCACGGCCCCTTTCTACCAAAGGTGAACACCCCGCCCGATTGTACCTTAGATAACCCATTCAATTCACAGTGAATCTTCATTCGTTCAGTCGTCGTCGCTATCCCCTTCCTGGTCTGCCAACGCCATTTGAACAAAGTTTCTGATCCAAGCCTGCTGCGCTGCATCGAGCTCGCCGTCACCCAAACCCTCGACCATATCGGGGTCAAAGTCTTCATGCCGACGGGGAGGCGCCCCCCGTCGAGCATCCGGCTGCTGGTTCTGCCCAGGTCCGCCTCTGTGATTACCACGACCGCCCCGACCTCCACGGCCGCCACGGCCACCTCGAGCTGCTGGAAATCCTCTTCTCGCAGGATTGGGAGGTGCCTGTGGAGCGGCTGGCGGGATGGGACCATGAAGTGCTGCTCCGATTCCTGCTCCTCCTCGACCTCCTCTGGGAGCTGGATTGGCCTCGATACGTAAAACAAGTGGCCCCTCTCGAGCAACACCACCCGCCGCAGGACGTGCTGGCCGATCCACATCGTTCGCCTCTGTATCCGAATCGCTGTCGTCCGGCTCTTCGATCTCGGGAACAAGGTCAATAACCGGAGCTGGAGGAGCGGGAGGCGGGATCTCCAAAAGCCGCTCGATCTGATGACCACCAGCGAAGCCAATGTCGACATTGTCGCCGTCGCCGCCTTCAAGCTCCCACAAGCGCATGTAGCAAGAAGTGATCTTGCCGTTGGGCTGTTCATTGAAATGGGCATACGGATTTCTCGGGTCGAGCCAGGCCGAACATAGATAGCAAAAGTGGGAGGCGCAGCGGAAGCAGATCATATGATTGCAGCCGTGAGTCTTCTGCGCCGGGACGCCACACGTAGGGCAAGGCGTCGTATGCAGGTTGATGTAATCGATTGAGGCCTGTTCCTCTTCAGAGATTTCGCCCTTGTCACGCTTGGGCGTACATCTGATGAACTCGCCATGCCATGACTGGTAGCAGCGGCTGCAGAAAGCGAACCCACAGTCTTCGCAGATGGCTATCAGATCTTCAGCCTGGAAGTTCTTCTTCACCTTTTTCTCCTTTTCGCCCGCGCCGTCATCTCCGTCAGCGTCGGTCTCGTCATCGGTCTCTTCACCCGAACTCTCGTCGATCGTCTCAAGTCCCTCGGGCTTCCTGTGCTTTTTGGACCTGGCCGCACCCTGGCACCAAGATCGGGGGCAGTAGATCGTATTCTTGTCGGATTCGAGTTCGTTCTTGTACTTGAGCGTCACGTAGCGAGTCACCATGTCATGGGGTAGCCCCATCTGAAGCAGTTCACTAGGACTGATCGAGGTTTTGACCTTCCTCTTCTTTCCCTTGCCCGGTCCTCGCGCCGCTTCGGCGCGCTCTTTGGAACAATTGGGGGCGAGGCAGCGGACAGTCGCTAAGTCTCCTTCCGTAATAGCATTACTGTAGAACTCCTGCAAGCACTGAGTACAGAAGATATGGCCGCAATCGAGCATCTTGTGACACATTGAGCCCTTCTTGGGATCTGCCGATAGTAAGCGTTAGCAGCCAAGAATACTGGGACGCGGAGGGGAACCATACCCAGACAAACACCGCAATCGAAGGTCTCCTTCTCGAATGCCGCCCGAGTAGCCTCAATGTCGTAGTCCAGAATGGCAATCTTGTGCAACGGGTCGATCTCCAACGCGCCAGCTCCGTCAACCATGCCAAACACATCGTCAGCCGCTTGCTGGATCTGTTCAATGTAGGAAAAGACAATCATGTCGCGACCCATCTCCTCCCATAATCTCGGTCCGTCATTTTCCAGCTTTTTGGTCACATCTTCGGACAGCCACGGCGGCGATGTACTGATGCTGACACTCGGGGGCTTGTCGGAGGGGTAGCCCTTGGGCAAGCCCATGCGAATCACGACGGCGGGAAGGTGCGAGAGCTCATGGGAGTCGACTCGGGGTTCGACGCCGGGTACCTGGGCGGCGACTGTATCGTCGGCATTGGATGCGGCCGGGAAGGTGACCGTTACGGGTTTCGCGGGATGAACAGGCAGCTCGATAGTGAAGCAAAAGGGCCGGTGGTCGTCGAGCTCGATTTCGGGGAAAATTGCCCGCAGAGAACTGAGCTCATCCTGGCGCGGGTCGTCGCTATCGTCGTCCATGGCTACTACTGGTTGGAAGGCGCGTATTGCATGCTTTGAGGAAAATTAAAATCAAAGCTGCCAGGCAGTCGTCAAGAAGCGAGTGGGGTTTTGCGCTTATATGAAGTAGCGACGAACATGGGAGATGGGTATTTGAACGCGGAGAGACGACTGGTGGCGAAAGTCGCAAAGATTTGGTGGTGTTGGCGAGTGCGTGATGGTGATGATTGGAAATAAACTGGAGACGGTCGCGGAACCCGCGAGAAGTGCGACTGGCTATGACGGGACCATTCTTCTTTTTCTTCTCGGGCCAAGATAAGCAATCTAGCGCGGGGGAGAAGAAGCGAGAGATCGCGGGTGTAAGAGCGCCTAGATCAAAAAAAAGTTGGCTGACTGGCGTTCGGACAGACAATGAAATGATGACTCTTTGGCCGTTATAATCGCGGGGCAAAAAGAGGCTGCAGAAAAGAATGACGGTGGGGTCATTCGTTATCAGTCTGTCCCTCGGCCGATAGGAGTGACAAAGGGCGACGCCGCGACGGGAACCTTCAAGGAAATATTGAAGGCACGAAGGGTCCAGGCCTACGGATACCTACAAGCCACAAAGGCGCCACAGAATAATTAGGCATGCTCGCACAACCGCATGCTGTGCTGGCTGACGGGGAAATACAAGCTCCCGATTGGCCCGAGCTCGAACCTATGCAACCTGACGTATTTATGCAAGTACGCAATGGAAGAGAAGAAATAGAAGCTTGGCCGTAGCCCGGTGCACTCTGCACAGCTGCACTTTGACAATTCTAGAGTGCTGTGCACCACGATCCGCGACGTCTGCTCTAACTTTACCAGCCCCTAGGAAGAGTCAGTCAGTTAGCCAGGCAGCCAGCTCAATATCTCTCCACCGCCCAACCTCTTTCCCGCTGAGGCACATGGCATCCCGCATTTAAGAACTCTCCAGATCCCTCTCCTCCTCCCCCATCCCACTGAGGACAAGGCCACCATATCTAAAGTCTCGGTCAGGCAAATGCAGTCGAGTCGAAAATCATGGATCAAGACACGAGACCACTAGCCTCTCTTTCCCTGACACACGTCTACTATGTGAGACCAGAACCCCGGGGAACTACTTTCTGCCAGTGACTTGCTTGAATAAAAACACTAACCAATACGTTCGAAACCACACACAGGACCCCGACGACTCCCTCTCCTTCCTCTGCGCATGGCTCGCGCTCCTCCCGCAAGCCCTCTGCATCGTCTACGCGACCCTGATCTGGTCCACCCGCGAGGTCGAAATCGCCCTCATGTTCGCCGGCCAGCTGGGCTGCGAAGCCATCAACTTCGCCCTCAAGCGCCTGATCAAGGAGGAGCGCCCCCGCCGCATCCATGGAAAGGGCTACGGCATGCCCAGCTCCCACGCCCAGTTCGTCGCCTACTGGTCCGTCTTCCTCGTCCTGTTCTTGCTGGTCAGGCACCGTCCCTCGTCCGCGCGCCGGCACCACCGGCCGTACTCGCTCGTCGAGCGCGTCGTGGTCAGTGTCGCTGCGCTGGGCATCGCTGCGGCCGTGGCGTGGAGCCGCATATACCTAAATTACCACACCGAGAAGCAGGTGATGGTCGGGTGCTTGGCCGGGACGGTGTGTGCCATCGGCTGGTTTTTGGTCACGGCTATTGCGAGGGACTTTGGGCTTCTGGCCTGGGGCCTGCAGACGCCCGTTGCGCGGCTGTTCAGGTTTCGTGATCTTGTCGTGGAAGAAGACCCTTGCCAGGCTGGCTGGGATAAGTGGGAGGAGAGGCGTGTGGAGGCAGACCAGCAGAAGACTAAATGAAATAAGCAGAGCTACGTTGGATTCTTGCGTTGTGGAATCCGCAGGACCTTGTGCATCGAGATAAAGCAAATGAATTACCACAGGCTTCACTATTTTGATTGTGTGTCGGTATCAGTAGGCTTGCCAATTTTCTGCACCAACCTCATGATACCCTCAAATCGCCGTTCGGGGCGTCCCACGATACCGCTAAATGTCTGGCCTCGTGTTCCAAAAACAAAGAGAGATTCCTGTAACAGAGAAGGCGAGCCAAGTCTAGAACCACACGAGCTCCTCTAAGAGTTGGGTTTTTAATGCAGGGTGGCTTCCAAAGCCAGCGAGAACGGGAATTTCATCATGTGAGCGTGGAATTTCTACCAAGGCAGACGACGATTTCACAGGTACTGTAGTTTCAGGGAACTATTAGTCTCCAAGCCTCCTGTCAGTTGAGTTAGCATCTCGGACGGTAGTAGCTGGCAGTGCGGAAAGCGACTGGCATTTATCACGGTTTCATGCAAATGGTCCGCCAAATTCATGATTGTTTGAGCTCTTTGATTCATTGAGCTATCTCTTCTGTGCTGTAGAGCCCTCTGGTGGCCTTTACCTCCGCTCGCCAAATTCGTCTCATGGCTAGTCATACCGTCGTCATTGCCATCCTTCCATTTGGTAGTCCTTGACTCTTTGATACCTCCTTTACTGGGTTCTCCTACACTCCAATGAAAGCCTTGTTCCGCCCCCGAGATCGTACACAACGTGCTTTTTGGGAGCACATCGCCAAAGAGACATAAGAAACAAACAATATGTAGACGTTATTAGTCATACAGGTATCTCCGCATAAAACGCCATCCAATGAAATAGTAAATATAAGAAGAGAAAATACTTCGCCAACAAACTCCGTTCAGTGACCGAAAAAGTTGGATCATACGCTTTTACCGCCCGGTGTAGTCGAGTGTCTATAACGTTTTTTTTTTTGTAGCGCGTGCGATAAATGCCAGTGTTGATACAGGTCGCGGATCTGGGCTTAGATCCAGTTGCGCTTGTCGTGTTCAGCAGAACATTGGCAATTCTGCTTGGTGCACTTGACCGGCGACTTCTTTCGCTGCGCAGGGGTGTTGAAGCCAACACCCTGAGGGCTAGTCACCCTCGTCTTCTGAGGGCTCTCAGGCCTGTAAACAGCCGGGCTGAGAGTAAGCTGCTCCGGCTCTTGCTCCTTGAGCTGGGACTGTCTGGGTACAGTGACCTTGGGAACAGATGGGAGCGTCTTCATCCGCAAATCCTTTTGGGGGCGGATGGGAGAAGATGAGACCAAGGTCGCATCCTCCTCAGAATCGGATGAAACGCTGTCGCTCAGGACGTCGACCTGAGCCAAGGGGCTGGGCCGCTTGATAGGCTCGTCGTCCCTCTCATCGGGATAGCTCAAGCTGTTCACGCTGGCATTGTTCTGGAAGTACTGTGAGTTGAGCGGGGGCATGTCGTCGACGTTTGACAGCCGCAGGCCAATCTGCACAGTCGCTGAAGATGCAAGCGAAGAATCGCGACGATGACGAATGCCCTGAGGGTGAAGTGATGGCGGAGGTCTGAGCAGCAACATCTCGTCCTCATCAGGGATTCTTGCCCCAGGGGCGTATGTCTTCGCCGGAAGCAGAGTAATTGACTTGGTGTTGTTGTTTTGCTCAGATGGGAACAAGGAGTAGGACCTCTTGCGAGCATGGGCCTTTGGCACCTGGTAGGTTGATACTTGAGCAGGCTCCGGCGTCCTCAGAGGGGAGCGGGCCGGCTGCCATACGGCGTTTTGTCGGAGAGGGTTGGCATAGGTGGGAGACCCAGAAGGACTCTCGATGCGTGCCTCCTCCTCCTTCTCGGGCACGAGGCTGTCGGTGCTGTCCATGCGTCGCAGCGAACGGGCCCGGCCGACAGGGTTCATCATGTGGTTTTCGTAATCATCGTCGCCGTTATAGACACGAATGCCGGCCTTGAGTTTATTACGCTCTGACTCCCACTTGTCGCTTTGGCGGGGGCCGATAGTAGATAGAGTATTTGATCGCAAGAATAGATGCAGACCGCCGGTCAGTAGGCCAGATACGTTGGCGACGACGGAGGCAATCATGGAAAGCGTCAGGGCCTGGCCAGTGGCACCTCGCTGTTCCGTGAACGAGAGGTTGAAGAAGAAGGGGATGAGGAGAGTCTGTATTGGTCAGTAAGTGGACTCGGACAAGATCATCGTTAATACTCACAGTCGAGATGAAGGCTACTGCCAGGAAGTAGACCATTCTAGACGCGGCAATACGCTCACTGTTCTCGATTCTGATGTTGTTGTGGAGACGGAAGAAGATCACCAGAGCCGAGCCCAGCAACGCCGCCGAGATAAAAGTGAGAAGTACGAAGCAGCCCTCCTTCCAGCGCTGGACGAACCAGAAAAGCGAGGCAAAGCAAAAGTTGGGAGGGCGGACGAAGAGGGTGACTAGGTAGGTAATGAGGAGAAAAGTGCCGACGATGGCGAGGCAAATGGTAACATTCCACTTGCCACGAGACGGCAGTGGGTTCTTTCGTAGAGACCGGATGGCCACCTCTAGAGCGAATACGAGTTGGATGTACGGAACAATGAAGACCGCTAGATACGATTGTTAGCTGAGCTTCTGGGATACGTAAACGAAGGCTACGAACCAGGCAGCATCATTTGGGAGGTGATGGTGCAACCCAAAGTCAGGAGATGGTCGAGTCCAGTCGACTGTGCAATGGCAAAGACGATGCCTTGAACGACGATGCCGACAGATAGAACGAGAGGAAAGGACTCTGCAGGTCCGACAAAAGTGAATCCATGCGTTCTGGAGCATAACGTTAGTCCATTGACTTGACTCATTGGTGACGGCAATGACGAGCGTACCTGAAGCCGAACTTTTGGTTGTTCCTCTTGGCCGTTGCATAACCATCCCAAAAGATACCGATTGCTGTTGCAAATGCGGCAATAACATTGAAGACGGCGAGAATGATGGTTGAGGTTCGAATCGATTTGGCGGCTTGGAAGCGGAACTGGTTGATGATGGCCGATGTCGAGTTGTTGGTGGCCTTGAAGGGTCCTCGTAATGAATCCGCCACGCCATTACCGTCCGTCACGCTGTCATCGTCGGCCCTCGTCCACAAGTCGCCTCCATATCCCCAGCTATCCATCTCGTCGATTATTCAACTGGCACTGGTCGTCGAAGAGATGAGCGCAGGCGTCGAGCCGCAGCGGTGCCAGATATTAATTCGCTTTCCGAACCATCTAATCCATAGAAGAGTCGATGTTGATCCGGTCGTATGAGGTGTAGAAGAGTATAGATGAGTCGAACAAGGAGAGTGAGGAGAAGAGGAGGAGGAGGGTGGCGATCGTACGGATGGGATGGAGAAGTGAAAAGAGTAAGTGAAAAGACAGGATGGATGGTAATGGACTGCCGCTCTTGGACGAAGAAGGCGGACCAGACGAAACAGACACTAGGCGAAGTCGGGACCTACGAATAGAAACAAGGAGTAATAGGACCAGCCACTCAAGAGAAGGAAAGGGACCGGCCTGAAGGAAGGGAAGGGAAAAAGAGACCAGTTCCAAAAGGTAAGACGGAAGGAGGAGGAGGGAAGGCCGCATGAAGAGGTCAAAAGGCGATCACAGAAAGCGTGGCAGAGACGGAGAGGCCCACCTCAGCAGGGGGCTAACATAGATAGATAGGTACCCAGTCGCAAGTTGCAAGGGACAGGCTCGGGAAGGGCCCCCGCGCGGGCCAGATGAGGTCCGGAGAGTTAGCCAAACCGCTAAATGGGGCCCAAGTCCAACTTTGGTCCAGGGTAACACGGCTGATGGATGGCCTACCAAAGAGGGCGAGGACGAGGGCGAGGGCCAGAGCAAGGGTGACGACCGTGACACTCTTGTGGAAAAGACGGGCCATCCAGAAGACGGGGACAGGAACGAGCGAATGAGACGCAGGCTGTACCTCGAGTCGACGTGCGACTGGATGGTGGGCAGTGAGGGGCTCAGATGGGGCGAACGTCTCTCGACGTGCATGTTGCTGGTTTGGGGATGGACTCCTAGGGCCACCATACATAGGTACACGCAGTCACGTCCAGTACGGTTTGGTATCATGGTATCCAGGTATCTTGGTCTTGGTCCTCCTACCTAGAGAGGGCTCAAGAACATGGAAGACAGGGCTGGGCGCGGGATGACAACCATGTTCATCACGACCCCGCCGACTAACTGGCTGGGCTGATTTGGGATTATTTGCCGTGCTTGCCTCTCAGGCCCTTTGCCTTCCAGTGGAGCAAGGTGCTCCAGCTCAACGATACGAAGACCATGGGAACCTTGGGAGGGGGAGCTGAGGTGAGGAGAAAAAAATTGGGCTCTCATGTAGTCTCCCGTCGCAACGAGCCGGCAGAATATGTGCTGAGGATGCCTGAGGTGCAGCAGCATGCGTGTGTGCCGGAGCGAACCCAGACTCGAGGTTCGAGGGACAGGCACCGTCAGAGTGAGAGAAAGGAACAGACACAGAGGGCGAAAGATTGAGTGAGGGTGTCACTGTGGGTGAGGATGAGGGCAAAGAGGAGGGCTTGAGGCGATGGCATTGAGTGGCGATGAGGTGAAGCAGTGATGTAACACGTCTGGGTTTCGTAGTGTCGCCCAAAATGCCTGAGCCCCTGGCTGTGAGGTTGAAGTTGACAAGGTTTGACGTTGGACTTGAGCCCCAGATCTGGGGGGCACTAGGAGACAACCTTTGTGCGCCTTGCTGTTTTGGGACTAGTGCAGTGTTGCCAAGTGAGTGGATCAAACCGCCGCAGGGATCGTGGAAGGGGCGGCTGATGGCGATGCCGAAACCTTTTTCGTTCCCTCTCCTCAGAACCCTCCAACCCGCTCAACTCCTCATCAACCCCTTCTCAGTCTGCCTATCCAATCGTGTCGTTTTTTGCGGCCCCATCTTCCTCTGATTCTGTTTAATCTGGTCTGGTGTGCCGAAATCCTCTCGAGATGCGGTGGATGCGGCGCCCTCCTCCTGCCTCCAGATGGTAGATGGGTTGGTTGGGAATGGCCTCACCAGTTCGGCTCAAAAGTCCTTGGTTGGCAATACATGTGTCCACACCGGCAGACACATTCAAGAAAGACAACAACACACACGGGAAATGCACAGCCAACGCAGAGGCGCAGACTACTTCATTGGTGTGTATCGAGTCAGCGCTGCAATCTGCGAGTTATGCCTGATCATGAGTTGCTGCGGCCATGTAGCGAGGCGCACGGGGAGGGCGGCGTCAACGTCAACGCCTGGGATCCAGCCCACCAGCCAGGCAAACACAATCCACATGGCGGGGATGCTTCTCACTTCCTCATCGACTCGACCTGGTAGCCCACTAGCCCTCTTCACGGGATGTTTCTGCCAGTCGGAGGGCCTGGGCTGTTGCACCAGCTATCTTGGTCCTGGACTCCTGCACGTGTCTACCCTTGCCACGGGGCTCGGTGTTGCCAGGGCATCCGTTGCAAACCTTTCTCAATCTCAAATATCTCGAGCTAGGCTATCAGAGGGACAATACAACTATCCAACAGGAACAGAGCGCCATCTAGTGGTTCCTATACCGTCTGGTAGTCGACCAGCCTGTGATGGACGAATCGAATCTCGTTGACGGCTGATCAAGTTCGTCTGTTTCCACAGATTTTCGAGCGATGAGGCAGATACCGTGTCACATGAGCTGAGATGGCCTGCACAGGGGCTCGGACGAGGGCCAGCGACAAGGATCCATGCCGTCAACAGCCCTGCTAACATGCACACTTACATCAGGCTATTCCTTCCACGGCTAGGGTAATGCTGCTTTGACGGCACCGAGCCGTGCGAGCCCAGTAGGCCCAGATCTGTCTGGCACGTCAGACCTCCCTAGCCCCCGTACGAAATGTGACGGCGTTGCGACTGGCGGCACGTCAAAAGAGACGAGACAAGCAAGACATGCACCTTGCGCGAACTACTGACGAGGAACAAGCGAACGTCCATCATCCGTCGCTTGAGGGCGGGCGCCGCTGCGGGGAAGGGCGATCCCTCGCCTCTTGCCACGAGACGCCTATAGACGATGGCGCGTCCGTCACAATTTCGAGGATCATCAAGTTGTCCTTCGGAATCTGCTTCGAGAGTCCCTTGGTCCCCTCATTCACAGCTGATACGATCTGCAAGATAAAAGAGGGCCGTCTGTGATGGATTCCGAGCGACTCCAACACAACGGATACACGGGGACAAGCTCAAAGACTAGTCAGTAGTGCGACACTATTCTTCCGAAGACAAGAATGGCGCCAACCCGCATCAGGTGCCAATGGCCGCCAAACACTTTAATTAATCTCCAACATGTCAACCCTACGGATATTGAGCCCGCTGCTAGCTTGGGGCACTAGTCACAACCTTGAACCAAATCTTCAACGCTTGGCTGCATCGCCCCCACCGACCAAGAGTGCCCGCGGTGACCAACTAGCCGGTGGAATATGGTTGCTCCGAGATGATGAGGGACTACAGTCTACTGCGTACGCAGGCTTGTGGCCGTCGCCGTGTCCTTGCCCACCTCGCATCACTGAGCTCGCCAGCGTCCCGTCAGTCCGGGGAGACCCACGTTCGTTGCTGAACCGGTCCTCGCCGTCGATCAAACGGGATATTCAGACTGACGTACAGCCAAGGGACGGACATCGCGACTACCCCTCTGCAGTTGCCATCTTACGATGTCCAATTATAGCGGACAGGGTCGAAAAATCCTCGCCCCAATTTGCTTGCCACTTGCAGATTCCCACGTTGTCGCGTTCTTCCATTCGTGGCTTCTATTCTATGGTTCTCGGTCATGCCACGGGTGTTTGCCGCTTCTCCCGAGCCGCACTTGGGATTTGACTTGGCCACATCACCAACCTCGCACGGCAGCTTATCAGTCGACCGGCTTCACGGGTCTTGACCGACGTCATGAGAGGCTGCCTTCGAGAAGTTACTGCTGAGGATCACCATTGCAATCTTCTTGGCAACGTTGCCACCTCCACCTGGCGTTGTTGAGATGAAATGTTGGAAAACGGGAGGGCAAGAAACTGTCATCCAAAACCATCTCCGTTGCCTTCCCATCCAATTCCCCTCTGAGGGTTCTCCTGAACCCCGCGGCTTTGGGGCGTCATCCAATGTCATCTAACAGCATTTGTTTATGGACTCGTCTGAAGTGAGTGCGAGGGCGGTAGCAGTGAGCCTCTTCTGGCGCGGGTGTTTCATCCCAATCATCACCAACCCGCCTACGAATGGCTGCTCGAACTTCCGGAAAGTGGGAGAGATTTGTTTTCTCTGAGAGCGAGTTCACGGCATCGCGGCTATGATCTATCCAGCCAAAACGATGCAGGTTCGGAATAGGCGTCGTCACTATTACGATTTGACTTTTCATTGGAGCTATAGAGGTAAGGAACCGTCAGGAAAAAGACTGGACGACGAACGAGTCGGCGGCTTTTGCTGCCTGCCGCCAGCGTCTTTCGGTATTCGCCCCGGGTATTCAACAACAAGCGTTGGACGTAGATAGCCGCTTCGTCATGCAATATAGCGTGCCCGACTCGTTGATCTCGACATTCGTCGCCTTGGCAAGTACTAGGCATGCAAGTTGAAAAGTTTAGACGATAGTTTGCCCAACGTGAGCCACCCAAAGGGTCCGGTCCGCATGGTCGCCAATGCTACAAGATGATGTGCTGGGTGAGTCTTTTCCCTCGACTGGACGATGGTCCCTTTTTTTCGGCAGGCCTCTCCACCTACTTGCTTGGCTATCTGAATCCTTTTCTGGTTCAGACGATGAAGCATATAGAGTGATGTCAGGTGAGATGCGAAAACGAAGATGGGCAACTGACTCACAGTGGTGCCGTTCATGGAATACAGACGGGCCGACGAGGGATCGACGGCGCGGCACCAGATTTCTTCTTTCGGCGGTACTGCCGCATTCTCGCTTTTCCCTAACCACGGCGTCAACGTCTTTGCCGCGTACTTCACACGTGCCCGAGCGAACTGCTTGAGGAGGCTCTGTTTGATCTTGGTAGTGTGTCCCTTGGGCCGCGTTGAGCATACTCGGGACACATGATTCGTGGCCGAAGTCGATCACACATGGAAGGCTATATTCAGAACATTATCAACGTCGTTCAAGCCCCATCAAGCGGCTCTTTCCTCCGGCGTCCGCGTGTCCGGCCTGGATATCTCGTGTGGTCGGCGTAACCAACTACAGATATACTCTAGCCCAGCCTTTTTTGATGAATTGCTCAATCAATGTAGTGTCCAAATAAGAAGAAGCCCAATCAAAAGCCAGCGTCTAAATGGCCCACAAGGCCAGATCCCAAACCCCGCACAATATCTTGGTCAATGCTTGAGAGAAGAGGGCCGGCCGCTTGAACATGTTGACCAAAGCTGGGTGTTTCCGCCCCCAACAGGGCCACCAACCCACCCGGGCCCGTCCGCCCTTTTGCCTAGACCTCTTGCAGAGAGGAAGCACGACTCGACGCACTATCCATGACGACGATGATTAGAATGTGGTTGTCTCGAATTGATTGCGAAGGTCCGAAGACGAAAAAAGTCTTCATAAGCTCGTCTAGACTGCTTTACCCAACCGTATAGAGACTGTTCTCCGGCTCACGTAATTGAGGCTAACCACTGGAAGTCGCACATGAATTACGACTGTACATGGATGGAGATGAAGGCCCGATGAATCTAGGGCCGTGTGCGTGTTGGCAGAAATACAACAGAGACGGTCTTTGTGTGGCCCTCTGCCGAGCTTCTAAAACAGGCATCATCATATAATCGCCAATGCAACGCCTAAAGTGTGGTTTCTCAACGAGAGGAATCATGATTTTACATTCAATGAAATCATTTAATCCATTTTCAAACGTACTGATTTCTAATAGCTTCGGCCATGGTTGTCAGCAATTTAGACGTCTGCTCGGCTGCTCCACCACTAGCGACCCACCTCACATATGGATCACGATAGCTTCACAAAAAGCTCAAAAACATACAACACCAGGTATTCGCTGGTCGTCACCGACCCAACTACTAATCCGGCCCTCATTGGCTTATCTATGGGAGAGCGGACGGGATCCCGAGTTTTCCAATGGGTATGGTCGTATGTGATGGTTTGACGATGCCAAGTTGATTATGTCTGAAAGAAACCAAGCGAATGTCGACCACCAGACCTCGCTTGAGCTCCTACATCTTGCACGATGAATTCGGTATGGTTGTACTGTATTCTATCTCAAAGCTATCTATTACAGTATGTATCTCGGCGTTCGAGCAGCTTAAGCTACTCTGTTGATGGGGCAGCAACTACTTCGGCCACAGTATCTCAGCCCTGGAGATATCAAAGGCCTTCAGACAAGGTCCGCTTTCCCACAGTCGCACCTGAAAGCCGATTGAGTACGTATAGTCAATAGAATAAACCCCGACTGGCTTCGTTCTTTACTGCGAAAAATTCCCTCGAAACAAACCATGGGCGGCCCGGTCCAGTACGGGACTCACGGCAACCCAAGAACATCGGACTCGAAGACTCGACAGTGGACTACTCGGGGCTATCGCCTCAATACCTCGTTCGATAAAACATGAGATCCTCCGCAATAGCACAAAAAAGAGCCTCAAGGCGTTGTGGGGAGTCTGTTGTTCGCTGATCCGATTTGACGAGGTTTCGACGGCCCCCGTAACACCCGATGATACACTTCCCACATACCGTCCGGTAGATCGTCTCCCCTTCCCCGTCCTCCCTCTCTCTCGCACCCGTCGTAAAATCTGAGATACTACACCCCAGAGGTAATCCACCAGTCGCCACGACGACTTGAGATGGTCATTAAAGATATGCTACATCTGAAGAATCGGATTCTCGTCACCGATTGCCTCAGTATGAGTCTCAAGGTGTAGAGGGGGTTGAAGACCCCACGTCAGGCCGTCCCTTATCGATACTGCAGGTGTAAAGACAAAAGGGTATCAGAGATTTCTGCATGTGGTGCCGATGGCGAGGCCGCCGTTGCTCGTCGCAGGAGGTAGTATTCGGACTATTTTTTGGGGGGGCGGTTCCTAACCGATTGGCCTTGCCCGGGAACCTGGGGACACTTGGTGATGGGGATTTCAACTACCGCCGATTGAGCTCTCGCAGTCGCTTCGAGGGACGAATTGGGAAAATGGCGGGAATGGTTCACAGTCCTGCCCTTTATCGTTAGTATCACTCTTGGCGGGCTACCAGAGAGCGGCAGGCATAGCTAAAGCTGCTGTCTCACCTTACTGCCGACTCTCACTCCATCCTGGCTTGGAGTGCTATCCTTCGCACATCGAAGGGAAGCAGATCGGAAATACCTAAGAGACTAGGAGGTGGGCGTGGACTGAAACTCCATGTGATTATCATTTTTGTCATTGCCAACGTGAACATGTTAACCGCACTCCAGGACAAGAGCTGGTTTGGGCTCTTGCAAGCTTGTTGATGTGTATCGGGCCTTGAAATGCATCAGGAACAGAATTCCCCGTATTGGGGTCATTGGATATCATACGTCTACTTCATGATAACTCTTACATGAGACAACGTATCAGTGCTACTGCAAAGTCTTTGACCCCGAGTGCGCAACTAGTCAGCCTAGGACAGATACCGTTTAGCTTTATTTGATGGATTCAGATCCTATCAGAATCTCTGGGCCCTTCCTACCTTATCCAAAAGGATTTCAGCTCGTATCAACCCAATGCCCTCATTATATTGTTTGTACTGGTTCACGTAGATATCTCATTGACCATATACGAACAATGTACGCCAAATATGCTGTCAGAAACGCTCATAATATTCGTACCAGCGGTGTTGAAACAGGATATCCGCCATGTATAATGCCGATTCTTTCATCTTGTGAATACATTCTTGTTCATGGCTCGGCGTATGGATGGTGGTGCTGGCCGAGCGGGTGTTCCGGGTGACGTTGCTCGGTTTCGGTGGACTGAATAAAGACATCGTTTCCGGCCACGAGTATATGGAAACATGACCCTTATGCCCTTAACTTATACTTGGAAACCTCGGTTGGAGCTTATAGAGGCAATGCTCTATGTCACGAACTTGGCAAAGTGCTACATGCTATGGCCTCGGCAGAGCCCAGCTCTCATCGGCTTTGCGCTCGATCTCATCTGGCTTTCGGCCTGTATGTAAACCACCCAATATCACTTGATCTTTGTTGAGCTTTGAGAAGTATTTGAATCCCAATGGTCTCATTTCAGCATTAGTCTCGAATAGATTTTGAGCGGCTGAGCCCACGGAATGTGGGGGAAAGACGCCTTCATTCTCACACTTCACCTCGCCACGAAGAATGAGTGCAGCAGTAAATGCAGCTCAATCTACATAGCCTGATTGTCCCAATAGAAGTAAAACTCAGAAGCATATTCGTCAGTGTCTCACGACTCCCTCTTAGGATATCCGAAAAGCATGGACTTAAATGATGGTAAAATGCGTTCAATTGATTTGACTTCCTGAAGGCTGTAATTTAGACCCACGAGAACAACGACAACATCAAGGGCGTCTTTGGGTCCACTATGAAAAAGCATAGACTCCATGATCTAGATGTTTTTGACTCCTTACCAACCTGATACTTATACGCTGATGTCTCTTCTCATATCGCAGACACCTTCGCATCATCCTTGGCTTGAGCTGAATCACCAAGTCACAACTTTCACGCTCCAAATCAATCAAGCCATGAAGTTCGGATTCATCATCCTGCTATCCACAGCAGTTACTGCTGCTGAGGACGAGAATACACGATGGTGTAATCACGAACCAAGTGACTCCGACCTTACTTGTGATGGTGTGAGTAAATTCATCATAAGATACCTTTGCAGACGACACGCGACTGATTCTGGCTTAGAGACCATCCGTCTACTGTGTAAGTATCCCTAACCCGTACCGACGACTGGTGCTAACTTCCTCGAACAGTGTGACCGGATTCTCAATACCTTGGCGCAGCCAAAACGAAAGAAAGATCTCCCAGTCAAGCGCTCATGTGGCAGGCAAGGTATACATGTACGATCGAGAATTATGCGGCTGCTGGTCTCATTGGTGTAAGTCCCCTTCTACTTGCAATTGATGCTGTAGCTCAGAACTCGAGCTAACCATGGGACAGCATGCCGCCTGCGTAAGAACGTGCACCAGCCACGGCCATGTCAATACCAACCCATATACCAGTGCTAAACGGTGATATTTTAACGATTCAAAGGTATCAGGGAAAGATTATCTTTGTTTGACTTGCCCGCTCAAAACGATTTAAGGAGAAAGGCGCCGGTCTTGGAGAGGCGGATGACTGTATCATACTTGTCTGGAGTCGTGTAGATGAGAAAACATTTCCCTGGCTGTCGTGAAATCAACTCGTGAGATGGTACACGTACTCGTAGTTTCTGTGTATGGCAACCCGAACAGCTATGCCTTCTGTATTGCGTGACTAATAGGCGGGAAGATGCATCATCGGTCTTGCTCCGCGATGTATGATCCGCTCGTATCTACTGCTGGACTCCAAAGACACAAACACACACAAGGCAGTCAGACGATCACGTCATGTATATTCGGCCACATCTCCCGCTAGGTCTCACATCGGCTCTGCCCCGCGTTGCGCGCGATGGGACGGCTTACACTGTCGGTGGGCTTAGCAAGCTCACTTTTGTTACTGACTACATATTGAGTCTAGCCATCAGCGCACAAGGAAAACCGCCGGCCATCTAATCTCCAAAAAGCCTACTTGGCCGCCGCCGGTCAATAAGCCCGACTGCAGGAATTTTTGTTATTCCAATGTGCCTCAATACATTTAATTTTGGAGGGACGATGAATGATTGCCTTGGCGAATGCACGACGATGACCGTGTTTGAAATAATTGATTTTTCTCTGAGCAAGGAGAGACATTTCTTGACACTTGAGCATGACCCTATGTATTCCGCCCCATGATATCACGTAAAAATCCTAACATAACTTCCAGTGCGTTTAGCTATCAAGGCCAAGACTCTGAAAAGTAGTCGAGCGAGTAGCTAATCAACACCGGCCGTGACGAACTCGTTCTGGCGAAAAAGGAGACAAGCAACTTAAAACTATGGTCTGCGCCGTCTCGGCAACAACCTAATTTTGGGGGAAATGACACCAAGAGCCTGCGCCTCTCTGTCGAGGCGAGCCTCAAGAAGCTCCAGATCACGTACATTGACCTCGCCACCTCCACTTCAGGGACATGACCGCCGATCTCCCCGAGATCATGCGCTCGCTGAACCAGCTCTTCACCTCGGGTAACGTCTTATACTTTAACATAGCTAATACTCCCGTGTGGATTGTGGTCATGTGCAACGACTATGCCCGGCATCAAGACTCGGGTTAGTTCTCAGTGTATCAAGCCAGGTGGTCTGCTGCTGACCCGGACTTCGAGAGGATCATGATCCCAATCTGCCTGGCATAGAGCATGGCCTAGTATTGTGGAGCACGCTCGGCCACGTGCCGTTCAAGCCTAGGGACTAGACTAAAGAAGTCGGCTCAGATATGCACTTGACGGGTAACGGGCGCGAGGCGTTAGTGTCGGAGAGAAGGTTGTGTTACTTTGGTTGCTCTAGCATACGTCTTCCATAAGGCACCCCATGTTTCCCCCATCTTGGGCGGTCGAAAAGTCGATCACATTAGGATCCGCATCGAGGCCCTAAGTCTATGGCTGGTGAGAGAGGACCTTGATGACATCGAAACTGCCTATCCTTTCGACATCGGTTTTCCGTACAACCTTTTGAGCGGGTATGACAAACGTGGCGCGAGTGAACTACAGGATATTTGGACTGCCAATATTTGCGGGATCTTTGATCATGTCGAAGACATTGACCCTATCTTGCCGAGATTTCCATAGCTTTACTTACGTTTGATAGTTTGTAGTCTTCGAGGCAAACAAGTCCGATTACGTCATCTTCGTCGTCGAGGGCCTGAGAAAGCCCGCGTATCTCATATACTTGATACTCTGGGAAACATACATTTCGCCTGGTTGAGCTCGAGGGCGGCCTAAGCTGAAGGCAATTTGAACCTCGAATATCTTGTCTGCTTGCATAACTCTCATGCTGTCGGGTCATGAGCAACGAGAAATCTTAAGGTCCAGCGATCTCGGCGCTCTTCAGCGGATGGACCTGGATCTACAGGGCGAAGTTATCGTTGGAAGAACGTAGCAACCAAGTTGATTCGAACAAGGCTAGGAGACTCTATGAAATATTCAAGACCACACCCGGAACACCAATTTGGACGCCTCCTTCATCTGGCGAAAGGAGCTATGAGTAGTATCTCCCCCTTCTGCTGTCGGCTCTTCCATGACTGTAGCAGATCCGATGGAGAAGTGGGTCGACGTCTCTGATCTGGACGGCTTCAATCTGGGCTACGTCACTTCACCGGCCTCGTTTCGGAAGATGTCGTGAATCTGCTTGTGCCAAAGTCACGAAGGTATGGCATATACCTTGAGGCTCTAGAGCCTGCCTCGACGTTGCGCGAAACCGTCAAAAGGCTGAACTCGGCTCAGGGACGACCACGTAGGCAGTGAATATAAGTATGATACGTATCAGGAAGACAAGCCGGTCTTTGGTAATGACCACCTTGGAGAGAAGAATTAAGAGCAACAATGCGAGCTTTCCATGTAAGACGAAATAGCTACAAGATAGGGTAGACAAGATGATTCAAAAGTTAAAAAATCGCACGAGGCTTCGATCAAAGGCTACGACAAGGGCAATTTGGCAACAGCTGACATTATGTAGTACATGAATAGCTTCATAGGCCTCGAGATATACGCTCATAGGTTCTTCCTGACGCCTTGGGCCTTGAAAGCAGCGGAAATCTCTCCATATGCCACGTATATGGCATAGATCGGGATAAAAACCCATAGCATATTGAAGAAGACGAGGTACACCCAAAGGTACATGAAGTTGCTCGTGTCCAAGTAGATGTTGCCGGTCAGCCATTCGGGGCAGAAGGTCATAAATCCTAGATCATGTCAGTTGACCCACTCGTTCCCGGAACGCCAGACATCAGTTGCCAACTCACCGCCATAAAGCTCCGCCGTTGCGATGACAATCATCCAAATGTTGACCTTGGGGTCACGCTTAGCAATGCTGTAGCAGATCCACACCGCCAGCGGTCCGGCGCCGAACACCGTTAAGAGCTCCAACGAAATCACACCCTAGGGGCCCAACAAGTTAGCCAGCATCTCGTCTCTGGAACAGCCCTTTTCGGCAACATACCAAGTCCGCGCCGGCCCATCTCTTATCAGCCCGCGCATAAACCATCCACAACTGCGCAAAGGGATTGCTTCCGCCCGCTTGGGCGCCATAGATGCGATCTGAATGACCGAGGAAATTGGCCGGGGTCGGGTGGAAACCGCTGAGGTCGGCGTCGGGCACGTCGGCGAGAGGGATGTAAGAGAAGAAGCAGTGATAGAGGAAGCTGCCCTCGAGGAAGAAGTGGATCAAAGCATCAAAGGCGTGCCAGATGAAGAGGACGCGATAGCTCGTCGATGTGGCGGGGTGGAGGACTCGACGAGACACAGCGATAGCTATGGACAAGAGGACGACGGTTGCTGCCAGGGAAATGAGCGTTGTCTGATCGAACAGATCCGGCGGCAAGGTTGAAGATGTGTTGGACATGGTAGGCAGGAGCGTGACGTGCAATTGACTCTATTCGTTCTTGATGATTGTTGATGAAGTTGTGTCGCGCCAGTAGTATGTTGTCACGTCCAACAGTCTTGCGACGTTCAAGCCAAGGATCCGTGCACCGGAACCCCAGGCCCGGTGTGGGGAAAGCATCAACACAAGTGGAGACCATTGGTGAATTATGCAAGGATAGATGTTGCATCGAGTGAAAATCATCATGATTTCAGATGGGATCTGGTGGAAAGCCTAGAGGTGGCATAACTTAGTATGTTTGGTGCCATAGATTGAGTAATTAGACAAATCAGATTGTGATCAAATAAGGACTTTGAGGAACAGAAATATTCGATTATGACAGGTGTCACTCATAAATAGGAATTCGATGTGATCTTAGCAATGCAGTGGCATTAAAAGCTATTCTAGGTAGAAGATCCGTGATCAATTCCCAGGTATTCCTGCCTCATTGCGTGTCCCGATCCGTTCCAAACGCCTACTCATTGAAAATTCCCTGGTGTTTGGGTATCGTGGGAATGATTTAGTGCTTGGCCTGCTCCTTGTATCCCTCGCTCTTGAAGTCGTGCTTGGACTCGTCGATCTTGTCGCCAACGGCGTCCTTGGCAGCGGAGGCACTGAAGAAAGATGTTAGTTAAAAGCCATCATGAAGGTGGAAGGAATGCTTACCGGTTGCCGATGGAGACGTTGTCGTCCTTGGCGACCTGCTTGTTGGTCTCCTTGGAGGCGGTGGCACCGGCCTGCTGGACAGACTCGGAAACGTAGTTGGCGGCGTTCTTGATGGTCTCCATTGTGAAGTAGGTTGGGTTGTTTGGTGGGTTGGTTGGTGGTGTTGTTTGTTTGTATTGAAAGTTGATTGATTGTGAGTGTGATGAAGAGGAGAGAGAAGGTGGTAGTGGTGGTGGGAAGAAGAGGTTTATATAAGAAGTTGGCAGCAGTCTCGAGGCGCCCTCTCGTATGGAGGGAAGGCAGCTGCTGCCTCTTTTCGGCGTGGTGCCTTTCTGCCTTGCGGAAGTTGCCCCGCTGACAGGTTGAGTTTGATCATTCGAATACCCGTCGGTAAGGAAGGAAGGCACCTCACGGATGGGAGACAACGACACCTCAAGGAAGGAGGTACCTCCCGCTCCATCATAGCATGGGAAGGTACATCGCAGGTTGCCCCTCCGTCTGTCTGCCCCTCCCCCTCGTTTGATTCCTTGTCAAGTTCCCGAATGCAATAGTTTGGGCCGTGCCTATCGGGCTTGTCTCTCCCTGCGCGTGTCTTGCCCCTCCTCCGGGCTTGCCCACTCGTGGCTAGAGCGCAGTTTCACCCCATGGCAAAGACGCTCAGGGTCTATCATGTGAACTGAAGAAATGTCGTCATAGACTATGACATCCTTCGCAGTTACTCCAGTTAGTGGAAGTTGAGGATGGATAGTATGGCCAATGCCCAGAAGCCAAAGGGAGGTCTCTATCGAAAATGACCAAGAGGTGGCCCAGGTGGCTCCTTGCGGACCTTCCATGTCTGTTTGGCAGTCGCACCAGCCACAGATGAGGAGAGCTACATACAGCTCTGGCAACCTGCAGGAGCTTTGGGCAAGCTACCTACCGTGCATTCCCAAAGTGACGTCAGGAGGACGTAGACGCACGAACGTCATACCTAGGTGGGTAGGCACGGAATTGGTAGTGTCCCCGCATGGACCTGGATGGTGGACCTATTGTGTATGGGCCTGAGGCTGGGCTTCCACTTTCAGCATCCCACGATACATACATACATACGTACCTTGCGGTACTCTAAATCTTTGCGGCCCCCCCATGCCATAGAAGGACCCCACTTGCATCTCTAGGCGCACAATACGATGGGACTTGCATGGTCGTTGGTCCATCCGCGATTGCAGCAAAGACAACCATTGCCACATGCAAAGAAGACATGTCCATTCTCGCGTCAGTCGCGTAATGCTGGCCACCGAAATACGTCAGTTTGTCGATTGCGAGCAGTGGCCAGCCAACCAGGCTACACGTCCTGTCTTCAGAGAGGATGGCATTTTTGCAAACCTCGATCATGCTGTCTACTTTCCCCACCCTCTCCGGGACATCATCTCCCATCATCTCCCATTATTGGAAAACACATCCACACTCTCCCGGTCTCACCCACGGAAGCCAAGCAGGCTCGCAGCCACAGTGGATCACACGATGAGCGCAAAGAGGGCAAGCAGTAAAAGCAGATTCGACGGGACGGGAGAGCTATGAACAAGCATCAACCACTCGAACTCAGCTTCACCGGGTGAGCACAGATCAATGAGCCTACTGGACAGCGCCAACCACTGTGTTGCTGATTCGCTGCGTTACAATAGAGCTCCATGCGAAGTGACGACACCGCCAGGTAGCTTTGTGCTTTGGGCCCAGCAAGCCATCCAAGGACCGTTCTGGACCACCCAAAGCGTTCGAGAATCCAGACAACATCGCAGCTGCCAACCCCCAGAGTCCGCGTCTGCCCCTCTGCCTTCTGGAGTATGGAGTCGGTCGTCTGGATGCGGCAAGATGCGGGTTTCAATTTGCACTTGCGCAGCCCGGCGAATTCCCGCAACCTACGAAACAGTTGACTGTTTCCCGATTCGCCCCTCCACAGCAAGCACGCCTGTATGTCATCGAGATCCCCGATGAACGAGCCACTGGGAACAATCACAACACGATGCGGAAGAAGGCCCGTCTCCTTCCCTTCCATTTACTGCGTAAGTCTTGCCTCCTGCCCCATACCTTATTATTGGTACATTCTGTCACTCTCAGCTTTATGCTCGGACGTTCTTCTCCGGTCAAAGGCGGCTGATTGTCCTGCAGCATGGGGAATTCTCCACGCTGCGTCTCATGTGATGCTGATGCCACAATTGCGGCATGGCCCAGCTTTACCCTTGGACGGACGAATACGATGCGAGGAAAAGACCGATGCGTTTCCCAACAGAGCAAGTACTTTCTTACGGGAGAGTATCAGGCGCATCTGCTCGTACCGTCTTACCTCGCCATCAATTCGGTTGACAGAATTCGTGCACGACAACATGCGGAATTTTCGCTGGGCCGCGTTGCACATCGTATCCACTCTCGTTCAGATCTTCGCCTACGTACACCAGCTTTTGATCTCGTGCCCCTCGTCGCGACGTTTGCCTCCTCCCGGTTTGCTTATACCGTGTCTCCATTGTCCGACTTCCCGAATCCGAAAACATCCCACGGAAACTACGTCACAGCAATGACATCGCCAAAATCACATCAGTAGTCGCTCTCGCTGTCCATTTTGCTTCTGAAGCACTGAAGCCACTATTACAGCGGACCTTGAGGAACCCGATTGCTACCCCTCTTCTGCCCCTCGGCTGGGCACGTCTCATTCTTAGACACTGCTTCCAACATATCCGTCCGCATTCCACTCAATAAGGTAAGGCCGTGTTATGTCAATCAGCGGAGCCTAGCGTCGTCAGGACATGAGCCTCGGAGTAACCTGTAGCCCCGCCGCCGTTCTAGAGCTACTTGTACGTCGTCAAGCTTTTGTTGGGCTGGTGACCCAATTCTGAGTTCCTCGTGTAAGCTTGTTGTCAGTGCCTGTTGACAGTCCTAGCTCCCTTGAACGTCGCTACGCCTTGTGCTTGTCAACTCTAGCCTGAACCCGAGACTCAAATCAAGCCGCGGCTCATTGTCCTAAGTTAGGCCCCTCATACGAACTGTCCTTCAATAGCTTCTCGCCGCGTGTCTTTCTGGTCAATGCAGCCGTCGGCGCCCCTGGCTTTACCCCTCCATGCTATTCCATGAGCACGCGGGCTGTTGCATTTGGGGAATGCGCCCGATCGAATTACCCGTGCAGAAGACACAAGGAGAAGCGGCACCGAGATATGGAACGATGCGTCGATCGTGGACGCTAAGGCGCGCCTGGCGTGGCCCCGCCTACCCAGCTTTTCTCCGTGCAGCGATTCTCTCAACCCCTGATGATCGATGCTACAGTTGGTCATCGACCGCATCGGCGGGTAAGTCCGTTCGGCGACGGGGGCGCGGGGCATCTCGAATCTCGACCTCAGGTCTCGGATTGCAGGGGCAGACCGCTCCGTGGCCGTGCCCTTGACTGAGGGGTAGGTTTGTTGTTATTCTGCCTTTGTTGGTTAGCACGGGAGAATCTGCCTGGAACGAGCTGCGCTTGCAGAGAATGGCTGTAGCAGGTCAAGCATGTGTAGCTTTGAAGACTGGGCAAGCATGCACCTAGGGGAGACATGCTCAAGAGTGATATTCGTTCACCCGAGAAGAGGTAGTCCTTCTTTCCCATCTCGACTTCTCAATTGCTCATCTTCTGTTCTCTCTAATTCACATCTCTTGTCTCCCACTTCCTTAATTCATTAACGATAGGGTTACTGCTGGGAGGGCACCACAAGAGGACAAACAGAGTGGACTACATCCGATATACCAGTTCTGCCATGGTCATCGGCGACACGCTCCAGGGTTCGATCTTCCCAGAGTCTGAAGATGCCACATAAGACTACTGGCTGCTAACGAGAACCAGAAATATACGATTGGTAGATAGCAACGAACGAACGACATTCCCATCCCCTTCTTCCTCTTACACAGGACCACATCAGTCCAGCGGAGGCAGATAAACTCCCATGCCAAATGGTGTTCGTGCCTAACACCAGCGACCTGAATTGCTTCGAAATGGATAATAGATCTGGACCTGAGACCAATGGATCTGAATACACTTCCAGGGTTTGAATACGCTTCCAAGTGGAATAACAGATCTGGCGAACAAGGGCACGAAATGACATGGTCAAACCCCGCAGACGGCAGATCACCGCCTTCATCGAGGTTACACCGCAGGCGTAAAATCACTGGGGCCATGCGTGAATTGAGGGGACTCTGATATCGCTTACGGGGCTGATGCTATGTGGAAAATCAAATGAGACCCATAAGGCCCAGAGGACAGAGGAGGAAGTTTACACCTTGACACCGACAGAATCCACCCGTGGCAGTCAAGCGGCATGGCTGTCGAACAGCGTTGATGTTCTGTCAAGTGAGAGGGTGCTGAGGTGCACATATTCCGACCCAACCCTATTGTCCAGATATTTCCATCTGGCTTAAGGAATCTCAAGGCTACGCGGCACATAAGCTGTATGCCCCTGTTGGTACGAGATATCTGCTGGCGCTGATGAGAGCATCCTGTGCAAGACCCCCATGCCATGGAACGCCTCTCGCATGTTTACATGCTGGCACGCACAACACGATATAGCCCAACTTGATTAAAGTTTTATACGATATGGCCTCAAACCTTCCTTGGAAATCAAACATGGGTGTCATCGGCACATCTGTGACGATCTGGAATGATATATGAGGTGTCTCTCCAGTCCTGAGTGACCTTCCACTTCATACACGTGAGAGTGAGACAGTATTGGGCAGAAATCGGGCATCACGAAGACACACCATCACATCCCACTTTGCTCACATCACCCTCGCCGCGCGCCGGCGAGCTTGCGATGTAGGGTAAACCGCATCCAGTAGAATCCCACATGTCTTCTTCCGATCGCGACATCAAGAAAATGCGACAACGTGCTAGCTAATGCCGAATTGTCACCGAGGCGCCCAACGCGTACGATAATGCCAATCTTTCGCAAAACATGGTCTCAAAGTCCGGCGAAGGCGCGACCTCGAACATGCCCCTACTGCAAACGCAGCTTCAATGGTGGCGTCAACCGGCCGACAATCTCGGCATGCACATCCTTCAACCCCTGTAAGACATGTAAGTCCTCCGCGTGCAGTGCCCCCTCTCCTTCTCCTCCTTCTTCCGCCGCCAGCTCAGCCGGGAAAGGCTTCCAAGGCCGCTCGTCGGCCTTGCACTTATCCCACCCGGCAATCCGTCCGTCAGCAGCAATCGCAGCCGGCGGCGGCACGATGCCCTTGTGCAGATACGCCCTCATCTTCTGGATCGCGCAGATCGAAGTCGCGGCGAGGGTGCAGTGCCCCTCGGCCTCGAGCTCAAAGACGCCGGCGCCGACGAATTTCCGGGACGCGGCGACGGCCTGGGCTAGCGGCGTGACGGGGTCGTGGGTGTTTCCGACAAAGAGGATCGGGAAGGAGGTGTTGACGGGGTCGGGGGATT